TCTAATTGTTAAAGACAAAAAATTGCCAAATGACATTAAAAAACGAGCTTCTATTATTAGTCAATATCTTAATCTTCGATTAGCAGGGAAAAAAACCATAGAAGCAAGTTTATTGCTTTCTAATAGTTTAGGAGGTGGAGAATATCATGCTCGTCTAATTCGCAATTGGTCAAAGAAATTTCTTAAAACCAGTTTAATTTTTGTTTCTTCTCAAGGAAAACATCCAAAAATTAAGTCACTTCTTTGGCATGAGGACATAAATAAAAAATTAAAAGACTATCTATTGGAACAAAAAAGTGATGTTTCAGTTAAAAAATTTAAAGAATATATTGAAAATGAGGTTTTTCCAGAAATTGGAATTGAAGAAAAAAAAACAATCAGTGTAAAAACTGCCCAAGTTTGGTTGAAAAAGCTTGGTTGGTATCATCAAAAACATCACAAAGATATCTATTATGATGGGCATGAGAGAGAAGATGTGATTAAATATCGAGAACTTTTTCTCTCTCAAATGCAAGAGTATGAAAAACTGATGCCCAAACCAAGTGAAAGTAATATATTGGATATTATAGAACCATTATTAAATCAAGGTGAAAAAGGTATGTACTCATTACACTAGTTGTCATGTTTAATTATTTTAATTATTGTTTAATTATCAGTCAGGGAATATACTAAATTTGGAAATAGATTCTAGAAATTTTTGTTGATCAATTCATATACACATGCTACAAATGAGTTTAGAAAACACTCCCCTGTTATGTTGTGTTGTGTTTTTTTATATAAAACTTTAAAAAATAACTGTTAAATAATATTCTTTTGGATGTATAGTTTCATAATCCCCGCTCATCCCCAAAGCTTTACAGAGTAGTTTTTTTCAGAAATAAAACTTGAAATTGCAAAAATTTTTTTTTTTTTCATAGAATCATATGTATATAAATTATAATGATGAATACAACACTCAAATCAAAAGATTTACCATGCTTCTTGTTGAAAGATATCAAAATACTCTTTTAGTTCAGTGTGAAACTAAGGAGAATCAGAATGGCGTTTTGCATCAGGAAAAAAATCAACTGAAAGAGCAAAACTTTTGGCTAAGTATTTTCCTGAATTATTTTCATTAATTATTTAGAAAATTATTCTATTTGAAAAACATAATAATCAACTTGTTGCTGATAATTATTTTATTGAGCATTTAAAAAGATAGATAATTCAAGGTCATCATATATCATAGAAGAAAATGAACAAAAAGGCCTAAGATGACTACTGACAACAATGCAATTGAAGCTCCCATTTATGAAACTTTGAAAGATTATATTCATCCAATAATTATAGACATAAGAAAATTCATATATATCCATCCATTAATTCCATTTATTATGGACATAAGAAATTCATAGATGTAAGAAAATTCAAATTTATTATATATATATTCATCCATTAACTACATTTATTATGAACATAAAAAAATTCAAATTTATTAAATTTATATATTCATCCAATAACTATAGACATAAGAAAATTCATATATATTCATCCATTAATTCCATTTATTATGTACATAAGAAAATTCATAGATGTGAAAAAATTCAAATTTATTATATATATATTCATCCATTAACTACATTTATAATGAACATAAAAAAATTCAATTTTATTAAATTTATATATTCATCCAATAATTATAGATGTAAGAAAATTCAAATTTATTAAATTTATATATTCATCCAATAATTATAGACATAAGAAAATTCATATATATATTAATCCATTAATTCCATTTATTATGAGCATAAGAAAATTCAAATTTATTATACATACATTCATCCATTAATTACAGATGTAAGAAAATTCAAATTTATTATATATATATTCATCCATCAACTACATTTATTATGAACATAAAAAAATTCAAATTTATTATACATACATTCATCCATTAATTATAGATGTAAGAAAATTCAAATTTATTATATATATATTCATCCATTAATCCATATTTATTATGGATGTAAAATTTATCTTCCCAATAATTCATATATATATATATATATTCTTATCTATTAACTTTATTATAGTTTCAATAATATCAGAGCCTGGTATTTATTACTGTATGAAATTTATAATAATTATGATGAACTAAGATTTTTTATTAAAGAAAAATATTTATATATATATAGTAACTTATTATAATTTGAACTATTAATATATCAGGAAAACATGCTATATACTAATTCAAAAAATGGCATCCTTGATATTGCTTAATTCTAGGTATGCATGCATAATAGCACATATATTGTATGTAATTTAAATCTCAACGGGTTTGCATTATTTTAATTTACATATGAAAAGATCTGCATAAAATTTAGCCAATCATTTTTTGTTTTGATTCTTTTTTAGAACGCTTATCATTTATAAATTAGGAAATACCAAATTTAGTATATTCCCTGACTGATTATTAATTTATTTTTAGAGTCAAAAAAATGGGGAGAAAAACAAAAATCAATTGATTTCTCAAAAACCCCTTTTTTTCCCGAAGGTCCTTTTTGCTAG